GGCTACATGACTTGTCCAGGGTCCCACAGCAGCTCAGTGGTGGGGTTGGGACCCAACTCCTGAGCCACAGGGCCCGCTCACCATGCCAGGAATGCTGGCGAGGACATGAAAACAGTTTCTGGTGCCACCCAAGACCCAGAGGACAGAGAAGGGAGGCCACCTGTAACCCACAGGTACAAGCTGGGACACTGGGATTTCCAACGGCCACGTGGCTTCCAAGGAGAGGATTTCCTCTTCAGCCCTCAAGTTTGGAGGATCCGCACCACCACCCCACAGAGCGGGGCGGGATCCATAAAGCCCTCCTAAAGGGGGCCACAGGGAGGCTGCCGGGCCACGCCACCTCTCTCAGAGTGGGCAGTGGGTCCTCAAGCACTCCTTCCTCCTGGGGGACCCAGAAAGAAGCCACTCTACAAAGTCCTCGTTCCCAGCTGCATGATGGGGGAGGCTGAGGGTGACAGCCAAGGACCCAGGGATCCAGGTCTTGGTTGCACCAAGCCTGGTCTGGCTACCTGGCCTCTGCTCTCTTACCGTAACCCACCTGGGCCCTGAAAGCCACACACAGACCTGCAGTCCCCAGAATGCGCCACGCCTACTCAAGCCTCCTGGCCGCTGCCAGACTGTTCCCTCCACTGCCCCACCTCTTTGCCCAGCCTCCTTAGCTGCCTGCAGCTCTTCAGCCTCCGGCTGTCCCCAGGGGAAGCCTTCGGCATCCCAGCTCTCAAGGCCTCCCCTTCACAGCTCTTAGTGAATCAAGGAATTGGCTGTTGACTGGCTGTCTCCCACAAGATTGTAAACCCCTTGAAGGCAGCAGCCATCTGTCTGTTCATACCACGTCCCCAGGTGATGAGCACCTGGTACTCAATTGATGAACGAATAAACAAATTCATTCAGGAGGTCACAGGACGTCATGTTGCTCTCCAGGCCTCAATGTCCTCCCAGGGCCAGTAAGGCCTGTGTGTCCAAAGGTTATCCTGAGTATCCAGGCCTAGCACAAAGCAGGTGTCTAGCAAAGGACACGGAAATGGATCCACCCTGGAGCAGGAAGAGCCAGGACCAGGAGCCTGGACAGTCACTCACTGTGGCCCTGGGCAAGCTGCATCCCCACCTGGGCCTCTACTTGCCCTTCTGTAAAATGGGATAATTGTAGGCCCAGCCCTGTCTTGGGGCTAGAATAATGCTACCCGCTTCCCAGCCTCTGCCCCAGGAGCACCCAGTAATAATAACCGCAACCCACTTCCAGGGCCTTCCTCTGGGCCAAGCCTTCATCTGGATGGGCCCACGCATATCTCACCACCCCTCTGTAAGGCAGGTACTATCATTTCCCCACTATACGAGGGGCCAGAGAGGCTAAGTCACCTGCCCAAAGTCACACAGTTAAAAAATGGTGGTGCCCCATTTGAGCAACCCATGCTGTGGGTCATGGTAGCAGGGACCCAGTTTCTGCAGCACACAGTCCTAGACGGGAAGGTGGCTGCCAGAACCACTCCAGATTAATTCCATGGCACAGAAGCAGATGCAAGCAACTAGCTCATCCCAGTTGGAGACTGTGAAACTTGCTGAGCAAATGAGCCCAGGTCTCATCTCCCAGCACCTGCTCCCAGCCCCAGATGGAGCCTAAAAGGAACCAGGGGGAGCTCCATGGAATGCCAGCTCCCAGCCCACATCATGGAATGGAGAGGAGGCACCATTTAGCCCTTGGTGTAAGGGCCGTTAAGTGACATCAGGCCTAAGAAGAGTCTGGCATGTGCCTGGCACATAACAGGGCCTTCCTGGCCTCCTCTGCCTGTGACAACCCCACACCTCTTTGGCCCCAATTCAAATAAGCCCTCCAACAGGGAGCTGTCCTGGATCTCACCAAGGCCTTCTCAAAGCAGGGTTGCACAGCCCCGCAGCCCATCACCTGGGCTCAGGCCTCTTCTCTGTCCTGCAGCCCCTCCTGCTCCCACAGCTGGTGCTGGGCCTAGCAGGCTGTGCATGTGCACCCAGCCAAAGGGGGTCAGGAGAAAAGTGCTGCTTGTACTCAGGCCCTGGAAGCAGCCAGGAACTAGAGTCCAGAACTGCGCATGCTGCAAGCCACAGAAGCCAAAAGCATAACCACTGGTGGCTCGGGCTCGGAGCAGTTGGACAACAGTAAGACCGACGGCCAGCCTCACCCAGGACTCAGGCTCGCTGCCACAGCAGTGACAGGATGTGGCCTCCGTGGGGCTAGGCCAACCCCTGCCCTCAGTTCACCCATGAGCCCAAAGGGTTCTTCACAGCCAAGTGTGGGGTGCACAGAGCTGCTCTGGGGGGAAGCGGGTGGGAGCCTGAGTGACGCCTGTCATCCTTGCCCCTCCCATTCTATATTCCACACACTGGCTCTGCGGCAGGTAACAAGAATGACATTTCCATTATGGACAGTGTGTCACCACAGGCACCAGGCTCAGCTGAACCCTCAGTACACCCTTACAGCCACCCTCTGGAGCAGGTTCTCTGTCACTCCCATTTTGCAGAGGAGGAAACAGGCAAAGAGAGTTTAAGTGACTCACCTAGGACCACACGACTGGTAAAAGGTGAGGCCAAGATTTGAGCCCAAACAGTTTGGTTCCAAAGCCATGCTCTTAACCTCTACAAAATACAACTTTAAAAAAAAATTTGGTTTGGGGAGGTGGCGAAAATCATCAGGCAAAGCAATCCAGTCCAGATTCCCTGGTACTTGAAGGCCTCCGCCTCCCCCTTTCCCCACCTGCACCTAGTGCTCCAGCCTTTCCAACACACCTGGCTCACCTGGAGGTGAGCTCATCACATCCTTGTGTTTCCTAAAGGTCCTTGTACGGGACCTCACAGACTACAGGGAGGGTTCGTCGAGACCCAGTACGTCGTGATGACCAGGAGATGACAGCAGGCACCTCCTGCTCTCAGGAAAGACAGGAAATCCCAGCACCTCCCCTCCTTCCCCTGCTCAATGAGGAGGCCATGGCAAGATAGCACCAGGTCCTAAGTCAGCCTGCAGCTGACTCCTCCAGGGAGCCTTCCAGGATCAAGCCACACTTTCAAGCATATATGGTCTCTCTGTTCTGTGTATGGTACTCACTTCACCCTGCCAGCATTTGGCACCCCATGGCTACTGCCAGCTTGGCCTCTAAAGGCTAATCAGTCTGTCCACCTATAGAATGGGGATAATAAATCAGTCCTTATAGGGCTGAGTAAGGATTAGAGATAATGTTTTGGAGCTTTTAGCCCAGGGCCTAGCTTACTGTAATTGCTCAGAAACAATTTGCTGCCATCATCATCATTCCCATTGCCTTATTCATCATCACCACCACCACCATCATCATCATCACCATCACCACCACCATCATCATCACCATCATCACCATCATCATCATCACCATCACCACCATCATCATCACCATCACCACCATCATCATCATCACCATCATCATCATCATCACCATCACCACCATCATCATCACCACCACCACCATCATCACCATCACCATCACCACCATCACCATCATCATCACCATCACCATCATCATCATCATCACCATCACCATCATCATCACCATCACCACCATCATCATCACCACCACCATCATCATCATCACCATCACCACCACCATCATCATCACCATCACCACCATCACCATCACCACCACCACCATCACCATCATCACCACCATCATCATCACCATCACCACCATCACCATCATCATCACCATCACCATCATCATCATCATCATCATCACCATCACCATCATCATCACCATCATCATCATCATCATCATCATCATCACCATAATCATCATCACCACCATCACCATCATCATCATCACCATCACCACCATCACCATCACCACCACCATCACCACCATCACCATCATCACCACCACCACCATCACCATCATCACCATCATCATCATCACCATCACCACCATCATCACCATCACCATCATCACCACCACCACCATCACCATCACCACCATCATCATCACCATCACCACCATCACCATCATCACCACCATCACCATCATCACCATCACCATCATCACCACCACCATCATCATCACCATCACCATCATCGCCTTCACCATCATCACTCTCAATACCACCATCACAACCATCATCACAATCACCACTATCTTTAACATCATCATCACTACCATCATCACTATCATCACCGTCACCATTACCACCACCATTACCATCATCACCACTATTACCACCACCACCATCAACATCATCACCACCATCACCATCACCATCATCACCATTATCAATTATCACCAACATCATCATCACTATCTTCACCATTAGAACCACCATCATCACCACCATCACAAATCACTATCACCATTGCTCCCATGGACACACTGATCATCACACAGAATAGTCACAACCAATTCTCACCTTGATCCCCACCCAGACAAGTGAACTCAATTGAGACCTGATCACTCTGTGTCCCCAACAGAAAATAAGGCTTGACATATATTTGTTTTTTAAACAGCTGTGGTCCCTATACAGTAAATCAGGCTTTTGGCCATCCATGAAAATTCCGACTGCCTTTCCTCAGTCAGGCTGATGGGTCATCACCACCACCCACCTATGCACCTTTTTTGTGTGGGGAGGAAGACAGGCAATAAAGAAAGACTCCTACCACTATAGAACAATGGCTGAAAGCAGGGGTTCTGGAACCAACTGCTTGGGTTTAATCCCAGCTCTGTCCCTTGCTAGCTGTGTGACCTTTGGCAAGGTCCTCGCCCTCTCTGTGCCTCGGTTTCTTCACCTGTAAAATGGAGATCATAATAGTGCTTACCCGCACATGAGATCACAGAGTACAGCTGATGTTGCTGCTCTCCAGTTAGATGTGGGGAGACAGAGGATCCACAGAGAGTGAGGGGGGTGAGATCCAGTCCCTACCCTCACGATCCGGAGCTCTCTGCTGCTTCTCCCACCCCCCAGTCCCTCTGGCACTCAGCCTCAGCTCCAGTCTCACCAGCGGCCAGGAGCCCACTCACCATGGGGAGCCGTAGATCCTGAAGCCCCGCACGGTGACCTCTGAATCCTGCAGGTAGATGCAGTTGGTGAGCAGCGACTGCACGTTCTCGTAGTTCTCCGGCTTCAGCTTCGACACCGATGGGAAGTAGTAAAAGTCCTGCTTGATGAGGTCCGCCATGAACTCCTGGTCAAATGTCAGCTCATGGTTGCCGGCGATCACAATTTTGTACTCGTAGGGCAGACTGCCTACAGAATGGACACAGACACATGGCCACCACTGTTGGCCCCTCTGGAAGCCACAGCACAGTGGGAGGGGAGCAGGCAGAAGCCACCAGAATCCCTGATTAGGGGTACCCCTGCTGCCGGCCTCCTAATCCGGAGGAGGCAGCTGCCCAATCACCGCCTGCGGCCCCTGAGACCAGTGCGGGGGCTGGGCAGGCTCCTCCCCTGCCTCTGAGCGGCAGGGTGCCCAGTCTCATCCTTGGGACTTCTCTGCCTCCGTTTCTTCTGTCTGGGTTACTTTTCCACTGGAAGAAGACCCTGCCCTGGACCCCCAGACCTGGCTGTCACCAGCCTCATGGCCAGTCCCAGTCCCCCTTCCCCCACACCTGGATGTCTTGGACTTTTCAGCCTCCACATTCCAAAAGAAAGTGCAAGCTCCTTGCAGAATCCAGTTCAAACTTTTGGAGTCCCCTACACTCAGGAAAAATCACAGTGACCACCCCCACTGCCATGGAATTCAAAGTCAAAACAAAGTCTCAATGGAATCAAAACAAAAATGTCCATGTAAACCATACATTGAACTTGCAGTACTGTCACTCCAGCTTTGTCATGTGCAAATCCTGGGCAGTTCTCCCAGGGCGTGCCTCTCCTTTCTCTCTCGGGGCCATGCTTTGCAGATGCCCTAAGTAGGATGTGCTGCCTCCCGGTGATCCAGCCCTGGCTCAGTTCTGGAGAGGCACCTGGCTGGGCCCCACCCACCAAGCTGGCCCTATGCAAGTCCAAGGCTACCACAGCCCCTCGGCCTCAGCAAACATCACCCACCCCTGTCCTCCAGCCCATCCATGAGCCAGCGTAACCCCAGGCTCGGGCCCCTGGCTCCCCACCTCCCACCAGCCTCAGCTACTGGGCTCCCACGGGCTGGAGAGAGCCAGCAGGGTAACTGTAGGCCCAGATTTGCATAGAAAATGAAATGTTGAAAGTGAACTCAGGAGCTAATAAGTCTTTCTCCTGATGGGGAGTGCCCTGGTGGGTCAGGCAAGCAATGTGCGAAAGTGGCAGCCAGCACGGGGGCTTGGGGAGATGGTGACATTCCATGACCATTTCACAAAGAAGCAACTGTGGCCATTTCATGAAACATCTAAATGACAAGCTTTGGTTCTTGAAGGAGCGGGTAACAGAGACACTAAACTCTGTGAATGCATCTGTTTCAGCAAGAAAGTCACTTTCTCTTGCCCTGAGTCCTTCAGCACAAATGACTCATTAGGGTCATCCTGAGGGTTCCTGGGGTGTGCACATGCGAGCCCCTATGAGGTACCAGGCACTGAACCAGGCTCTGGCATCATCCCCATCCTGTGGATGTGGAAACTGAGGCTCTGGAAGCTGGGCTATGACAAGCTGTAGGACAGATGGCCAGGAGGTGTCAGAGCCGGATGCTGAGCCACACCATGTGACTCCAGAACTTTCCGCCTGCTCAGGGAGAGCCCAGGAAGGAGCCCTCACCAAGGCCAGGACACAGAGCCCCATTCAGAGAGCCATGGCCACACCTCTTGCCTCCCCCTATAGAGGAGCAGGAATCCTGCAGGGGGTCCCCCAAGCTCCGGGGCAGGCAGAGAGGGAAGCGCTCTCGTGAACGGCTGCCTGAACTAACGGAGAGCCACACCTCACAGTGCATCCTCTGCATTCCTGGGTGACCATGGCCTCCACAAAGTCACACACAAGGCAAAGTGCCCAGCTTTGGAGCCAGCTGACCTGAGTTCAAATCCAGGCTCTGTCACCTCCCACCTGGGCAAGTCACTTAACCTCTCTGAGCCTCAGTTTCCCCTCTGATCAAGGTGGGTGTGCTGGTGACTGACCCTTCCCAGAGGCTAAGGACGTTCTCTGGCACTACAGGCCCGACCAAGCCCGTTCCCCAAGACTCCCTTCACTCATCGTCCTGGGGCAACAGTCAGTGGCCTGGGTGCTGCAGTGTATCTCTCCCCAGTAAGGGGAGAGCCTTTTCCACCCTTGACCGTCCTTGACCATGACACGAAATTCGACCTCTCCCACCATGTGAGCTTCCCGACAGGAATCAAATTCCAGAAATGCCTCTGCTCCAAATTCTGAGGATTGTTGGTCTTACTGGAAACCAATGCTCACAATACGGGATCAGATTCGGAAGACGTTCGATCAGGCTCGGCTCCCAGTAAGCGTTCTAGGAAGAACCTTGCTTCCCTAGCCCTCATGTAAGCTCCGGGGAAGGCCAGGATGAGGTTTATGGCTGTGTAATACAATAATATGCCATGTGCTGCAACTACAACACTATATCCTAATTGCAATGAAACACAGGAGTCCAGAACCCAGTTATAAACTTCTCCATGCCCCCCACCCCCCAGTTGGGACCTGCATATCTGACCAGCCACATGCCCTATGGCCATGACAAATGGCTACTGAACAACCACCCAATTCACAGTCTGGCCATGAAGGATGGGCCAGGGCAGTGGGGAGGGGAGCCCAGAGGCAAGAGAGTTTTCTGCAACACAGACAGAAAACCACAATCTACTCATCGCTGGCTCACCAGCCACTCCAGACTTCTTTGAAGGTTTGAGAAAACAGTGTTCTCTCTTCTTGGGTGTTTATCAACTCCTGGAGGCCATGAGGACATGGCAGACCCTGGGTTTTGGCTCTGGCAGCCTAGGTCCCAGACCCAGCTGTGCTACTAACCAGCTGCATGACTTAGCCTCCCTGTGCCTCTGCTTCCTCACCTGTAAAATGGGAATTATAATGCCTACCTTGCAAATCTGTTCTGGTATTACAGAAGATATTGAAAGGAAATGAACAAAAACTTTTGATGTTAAAAATATGTTTAGTCAGCTTCCCTGGGCAAGAGTTTGCAAACTAGAGACCTGTGGGGCAGACCCGCCTACAGACATTTTATTTGGCACAACTTTTTTTTAATTTGAATTTGTTGCAAACATTAAAATTTCAAGAGAATCTCAATAAAACGTCATTCTGTTTTCTAAAAAATAAATAAATAAATAAAATTTAACATCTGGCAATCCTGGCCCAGTCACAAAATGTTGAGTGTCTGTTCCCCCTTGCACCGAATGAAAACGTCCAGTTTGCCCCAGTCACCACCTGTCCCTACTACTCACACTTGGGCCACTTCACTCGATTTAAGGTACTGCCCACTCCCGGTAGGTATTTGGGTTTCTGGCCCTTGCTGTGGTCCCTGGAGACATGAAGGGAACAGACCTGGCTTCTGGCTGGGGGACTTCCACTCGGGCCATGGGGATGAGCTCTCCAAGCCCCTCCCCACCTCCCCCATCCTCCTGTTTTTCATCACAGCCCACCCGGGCCCAGGGGTGCTGAGTGGTGTGCTTGTTACTCTCGCAGGCGAGTTCCAGGAACACAGGAGTAGGTGTGTTTGCTTCACCCATCTCTGTCCCCAGCAGGCCCCAGCAGAAGTCTGACAAACAAAGACACGAAGAGCACCACAGCACGACACAGCACAGAGAAACCCTCTACAGCGGTGCTCCGGCTGCTGCGTGGGCCCAGCAGCCGCAGGAGAGTGCTGGAGGACAGAGCAGGAAAGACTGCCATTTCCTGGACCCCGTGGTCGGACAGGCCACCCTGGATGGAGGGCTGAGATCTTGATTTCCCAGAGAACCTTCCGGAGTGGGTTCCAGTATCTCTGCTTTGCAGCTGAGGAAAGAAGCCCAGAGGCCAAGAAACCTGCCCAGGCCCACAGCAGGGGAGGAGGAGGCGACGTTGGTGCTGGTCCAGCTGCCCCCACACCCAAGGGCCAGCGACTCTGACTCCCTCAAGGCCACCAGACCACAGAGTCGGCGTGGGAGCCGGCATCGAGCCCTTCCCCAAAAATGCTGCGGTGGGGGGCGGGCGGAGGGTCGCCAAATATCTGCAGGCTCGGATGCGCCTGGAGGCATCCATCCTACTCCGGGTGCCGCCCAAGCTGGGGGCCAGAGCCCGCACTACTGTATTTGTGTCATGTCTCTGACTGGGGGTGTTACTTAAGCAAATTAGCAAATTACTCTGACTGCACAGTTTCATTTATTTCTGTAGCTCCCAACTACCAGAGATTGGGGGTGTGTGGGAAGCTGTCAGCTCTCCCCTGTCCCTCCCACCTTGACAGAGGAGCGTAACTGAGACATCTTCCCTCCCAGGGAGGGGTGGTGGGGGACAAGGAACAGCTCTGAACATACACCAGGCAGCAAGGCAGGGGCCACAGCTTACTGGGGTGACCCCTCAAGTACTGTCTGTTCTCTCCAACATGGTGGGTGCCCCATGCCCTGGAGGCAGGAGGTATGCTCATTTGTGGACACAGGAACCATCCAGCACCATGTCCCTCTGAGCCAAATACCCAGGCACAAGCACATCTGTCTGGATGGGCACGTGGACTTGGCAACTCGCCACCTGCACGTGACCTCCACTGACACTTAAGTGCTACTATCCCTGCTTTACGTCTGGGAGAACCGAGGCTCAGAGGGGTTGCCTAAGTTACACGAATCGGTAACAAAACGACCAGCATTTACAGAGAGCAACGGACATTTGATAGACCCTGCAGCGGCACCCTGAGGTGCCCTCTGAACCATCATGCGACCCTGCCTCTCAATGGACGTACAGATGCATTTATCAGTCAGTCCACCCCGAGAAAGCCCTGACTGTCTCCTTTGTACCAACTGGCCTCTGTGTCCCTGGATCCCTCCTTTTCCCCCAACTGTTTCCTTCAACTGTCCCTGGCAGGGCATGTGTTTCAGATCCACGTCCCTCACCCACAATCTTGACTGTCCATCTCTGAATCATCTCCAATTGGACCTGCTCTTACAGGTGGGTATGAGGGGACAGAACTAAAGCTCTGGCACAGCCAGAGCGGAGTGAAGCGCCCTGGTCCTCGCATGGAGTGGAGAAGCCCCTCCTCTGCTACAGGGCTGCCATGTCTGTGGCTGCAGCCACGGCTGCATTGGTCTTCCAGTGCCCACATCATCCTGCAGCTCTCACCCACCTGACTGGATAAATGCCCAGCGACC